TTATACTGCATCTTTGCTGAGCGGATTTTAGTTACAGTTTCTCGAAGAACCAAACAAGAAATTGCAGCAATATTCATTAAATAGACGAGTAGTAGATTTATGATACGTTCAATATAGATTATGGCGTGAAAAACTGCCTGGTATGACACAGAATACATATATATATATATATGAATGGTGGTACTTGTTTGGAAAAAAAAAATCTCGGATAGCTCAACTTGCAGTAGAACAAATTGTTACCCCAGGAAAAATAGGAAATAAAAAAAGAAAAATCAAGAACCTCAAAACAAGGCGAAGAAAAGTGTTTAGGCTCCAATTCCAATGAAAAATAATCCAAAATGAGTAAAAAGACAACGACGTAAATTGCTTAATACTCTAAGTAGAGCGATAAAGTAAAATAGTTCTAAGGAGCCAGGCAAACCTACCTAGGTGTCACCTAAACGGATCTTCAGCCGACTTTACCTTGCAGATGCGTTTAAGTGAAACCTAGGTAGGTTTCCTGGTCTTAGTATATATATATATATATATATATATATATATATATATATGAATTAGGAATTACATACCAGTAAGCTCTCTTTAAGCGCAAGATGCTATTTAATATCCTAATACTTTATTTGTTTATTTTATATGCGCAAAAAACAGGAAGTGTCACAGAAGAGGAGGGGTGAGGCAAGAATGAGGAAGTAGTGTGGAATGAGGATTGAAAGGAAAAAAAATATCGTACTCCCATCCGGTACCGCATAAATTCCAAATATACTTTCTAGTATGCCTACTCCCTGACATGACCTCAGACATTTCATTTAATGTCTTTTCTTGACCTGAATAATTTGCTATTTTCTTCTTGGCACAGCCTACAGACATCACTACCTTTAATGTAAGGCTTGGCTCTCTTCAGTATACTCCATCTTATATTAGGGATTTTGTTAATATTTCTTCCTTTTAATTCCCTCACGTGGCTGGCCAGTTTGGTACAATTCCTATGGCTTTCTATTCTGAACGATGACTTGTGATTGTATCATCTCTTTTTGAAGCTGCATTCGGTAGACCTCACATATATTTTGCTTTGGCCATTTTTGTCTCTCACTTCTGTAAACCATTCCTTCCGTTTTACAAACATCATCCAATGGACACTTATTTTTTTCTCTACAGTTACATTTCCTCTCTATCTACCATTGTTTGCTACATGCTAAGCTTGAAATTCTTGGCGTTTTGTCTTTTCAATGTAGTATCCAAATTGCTAGTCCACCTGCAACTCAGTTTCACTGTGTTTCTATTAAATATCTTGTGTAAGACAGAACTCTTTGGGAAGTGCATATCGGGCAACTTAAAAAATATCTCCCCTATGTTAGATTTCACCTCTAAATTAAACGGAGAGTTAAACCAAATAATACCCTTTTTCTCCTTTTATTCATGATTTATTGATTCAATTGAGGACTGAATTCCAATTTAGTCTTGTGCACCTCCTTTTTCAACGATTTTTTCGGACACTTATCTTTTTTTCTTCAAAAATGGTTCTACTATAAGAATTTATGGTTAGCCTGCTCCCTATTTCTTTACATTCGCCGAGATACATGCCTGTACCTTCGAGGAAATTGACGCTTGTAGATTCGCCAAAATCCACCCCTGTGCTTTCGCGGATATTCACGCTTGTATATTCGCTGAGATCCACGCTTGTACATTCGCGGAAAGTCACGCTTGTAGATTCCCGGTGATTCACGCTTGTAGCTTAGCGGAAATTCACGCTTGTAGCTTAGCGGAAATTCACGCTTGTAGATTCGCCGTGATTCACGCTTGTAGCTTAGCGGAAATTCACGTTTGTAGATTCGCCGAGATACATGCTTGTAACTACGCGAAAATTCACGCTAGTAGAATCGCCGACATAAACGCCTGTACCTTAGCAGAAATTTACGCTTGTAGATTCGTCGAGAATCACGCTTGTAGCTTCTTGGAAATTCACGCTTGGAGATTAGCCGAGATGCATGCATGTAGCTTCTCGAAAATTACCTCTTGTAGATTCGCCGAGATCCACGTATGCAAACTTCGCGGAAATTCACGCTTGTAGATTCCCGTGATTCAGGCTTATAGCTTAGCGGAAATTCAAGCTTGTAGATTCCCCGTGATTCACGCTTGTACCTTCGCGGAAATTCACGCTTGTAGATTCGCCGAGATTCACGCTTGAAGCTTCGTGGAAATTCACGCTTGTAGATTCCCCGTGATTCACGCTTGTACCTTCGCGGAAATTCACCCTTGTAGATTCGCCGAGATTCACGCTTGTAGCTTCGCGGAAATTCACGCTTGTAGATTCCCCGTGATTCACGCTTGTAGCTTACCGGAAATTCACGTTTGTAGATTCGCCGAAATTAACGCATTTTATTACGAACGCTCGTTTTCCAGCCATTGGAAAGGTGGCATTACCGTTTCTGCTTAACGTAAAATAAGCTATCGCCTTAGATTTATTTCATTTTCACATTTAAATTTTCCTTTCAACTTTAACATTTTATGAATATTTGACATTTGTCAAATATTGGTTCGCCGTTACATTCTCGAAATTTTATCTGTATATGCTGAAGCAAAGGACGACGTTCTGAATTCTGTTTTCTAAATGTCTGTATGGCATGTGTCATTGATTAATGATTTAAAAACGAAGAAAAGAGTTCCGGCCAAACAGTTCTATTTGTTGTTTGTTCCGTTCCTCTGAAAATGACAGCAAGACATCGCTCAGCGTCAGTTGTCCTGAATTCTTGTGCAATTGCTGAGTCGTCAGGTCGATCGATCTTAGATGGAGTCACAGATAATTGCACGAACAGAAGAAACGATAGATTGACCAGTGGTCAGAGGTTCACGGGAACTGAAGGGGTTATAGTTTTTCGGAGATGACATTACGAAAAGAGCAGTTAGAAGTTAACTAAGTGAGAGAGAGAGAGAGAGTGAAAGAGAGAGAGAGGGAGAGAGTAATATGAAGAGAGAACTAAGTGTGCAGTGTGAGGAAGTGAGGGAAAAATCTATTAAAAAGAAAATAAGGTAGCGGGGATATCTACCGGTACTCAATAGATAAAGGTCTGAAGAACTGCACAATTTGAAAAGAAGCCACAACAGTGAAATGAAGGAGAGAAATAAATGAATACTGGGAAAATAAGAAAAAAAAAATTGTAAAATAAAGGAAGGAAAGAAAGGACAGAATAAAAAAAGAAAACGGGCGAAAAGAAAGATCACGAAAAGAAAGAAAGAAAGAAAGAAAGAAAGAAAGAAAGAAAGAAAGAAAAATCATAAAAAGAAACAAAATGGAAGATGTACAGTTAGGAAAAAAGAAAGCAAACAAGCAAGACAAAAGAAAGAAAGAAAGAAAGAAAGAAAGAAAGAAAGAAAGAAAGAAAATACAAATGCAAAAAAGAAAGAAAGGAATACATGCAGTTAGAATCAGTAACAGGAAATGGTAGAAAGAAAGAAAGAAAGAAAGAAAGAAAGAAAGAAAGAAAGAAAGAAAGAAAATACAAATGCAAAAAAGAAAGAAAGGAATACATGAAGTTAGAATCAGTAACAGGAAATGGTAGAAAGAAAGAAAGAAAGAAAGAAAATACAAATGCAAAAAAGAAAGAAAGGAATACATGCAGTTAGAATCAGTAACAGGAAATGTTAGAAAGAAAGAAAGAAAGAAAGAAAGAAAGAAAGAAAGAAAGAAAGAAAGAAAATACAAATGCAAAAAAGAAAGAAAGGAATACATGCAGTTAGAATCAGTAACAGGAAATGGTAGAAAGAAAGAAAGAAAGAAAGAAAGAAAGAACGAAAATACAAATGCAAAAAAGAAAGAAAGGAATACATGCAGTTAGAATCAGTAACAGGAAATGGTAGAAAGAAAGAAAGAAAGAAAGCAAGAAAGAAAGAAAGAAAATACAAATGCCAAAAAGAAAGAAAGGAATACATGCAGTTAGAATCAGTAACAGGAAATGGTAGTAAGAAAGAAAGAAAGAAAGAAAGAAAGAAAGAAAGAAAGAAAGAAAGAAAGAAAGAAAGAAAATACAAATGCAAAAAAGAAAGAAAGGAATACATGCAGTTAGAATCAGTAACAGGAAATGGTAGAAAGAAAGAAAGAAAGAAAAAAGAAAGAAAAAAGAAAGAAAAGAAAAAAAGAAAATACAAAAAAAAAGAAAGAAAGGAATACATGCAGTTAGAATCAGTAACAGGAAATGGTAGAAAGAAAGAAAGAAAGAAAAGAAAGAAAGAAAGAAAGAAAATAAAATGCAAAAAAAAAAAAGAAAGGAATACATGCAGTTAGAATCAGTAACAGGAAATGGTAGAAAGAAAGAAAAAAGAAAGAAAAAAGAAAGAAAGTACAAATGCAAAAAAAAAGAAAGGAATACATGCAGTTACAATCAGTAACAGGAAATGGTAGAAAGAAAGAAAGAAAGAAAGAAAGAAAGAAAGAAAGAAAGAAAGAAAATACAAATGCAAAAAAAGAAAGAAAGGAATACATGTAGTTAGAATCAGTAACAAAATGGCAGAAAAAGAAAGAAAGAAAGAAAGAAAGAAAGAAAGAAAATACAATGCAAAAAAAGAAAGAAAGGAATACATGCAGTTAGAATCAGTAACAGGAAATGGTAGAAAGAAAGAAAGAAAGAAAGAAAGAAAGAAAGAAAGAAAGAAAATAAAAAATTCAAAAAAAAAAAGAAAGGAATACATGCAGTTAGAATCAGTAACAGGAAATGGTAGAAAGAAAGAAAGAAAGAAAGAAAGAAAGAAAGAAAGAAAGAAAGAAAATACAAATGCAAAAAAGAAAGAAAGGAATACATGCAGTTAGAATCAGTAACAGGAAATGGTAGAAAGAAAGAAAGAAAGAAAGAAAGAAAGAAAGAAAGAAAGTACAAATGCAAAAAAGAAAGAAAGGAATACATGCAGTTAGAATCAGTAACAGGAAATGGTAGAAAGAAAGAAAGAAAGAAAGAAAGAAAGAAAGAAAATACAAATGCAAAAAAGAAAGAAAGGAATACATGCAGTTAGAATCAGTAACAGAAATGGTAGAAAGAAAGAAAGAAAGAAAGAAAGAAAGAAAAAAAAATACAAATGCCAAAAAAAGAAAGAAAGGAATACATGCAGTTAGAATCAGTAACAGGAAATGGTAGAAAGAAAGAAAGAAAAAAGAAAGAAAGAAAGAAAGAAAGAAAATACAATTGCAAAAAAAGAAAGAAAGGAATATATGCAGTTAGAATCAAAAAAATGAAAGAAAGGAAAGAAAGAAAGAAAGAAAAAAGAAAAAATACAAATGCAAAAAAGAAAGAAAGGAAATACATGTAGTTAGAATCAGTAACAGGAAATAGCAGAAAGAAAGAAAGAAAGAAAAAAGAAAGAAAAAAAGAAAGAAAAATACAAATGCAAAAAGAAAGAAAAGAAATAATATGTAAGTTAGAATCAGTAACAGGAAATAGCAGAAAGAAAGAAAGAAAAGAAAAGAAAGAAAGAAAAAAAGAAAGAAAGAAAATACAAATGCAAAAAAAAAAAAAGAAAGGAATACATGCAGTTAGAATCAGTAACAGGAAATGGAAAGAAAGAAAGAAAGAAAGAAAGAAAGAAAAGAAAAAAGAAAATGCAAAAAAAAAGAAAGGAAACATGCAGTTAGAAATGCAAAATGGTAAAAGAAAGAAAGAAAGAAAAGAAAAAAAGAAAGAAAATGCAAACCATAAAAAAAGAAAGAATCAGTAACGGGAAATGGTAGAAAGAAAGAAAGAAAGAAAGAAAGAAAGAAAAGAAAGAAAGAAAATACAAATGCAAAAAAGAAAGAAAGGAATACATGCAGTTAGAATCAGTAACAGGAAATGGTAGAAAGAAAGAAAGAAAGAAAGAAAGAAAGAAAGAAAATACAAATGCTAAAAAAGAAAGAAAAAATACATGCAAAAATCAGTAACAGGAAATGCAGTAGAAAGAAAGAAAGAAAGAAAGAAAGAAAGAAAGAAAGAAAAAAAGAAAAAAATACAAATGCAAAAAAAGAAAGAAAGGAATACATGCAGTTAGAATCAGTAACAGGAAATGGTAGAAAGTAAAAGAAAGAAAGAAAAAGAAAATGCAAAAAAAAGAAAGAAAAGGAATACATGAAAATCAGTAACAGAAAGAAAGAAAGAAAGAAAGAAAAAAGAAAAAAGAAAAGATTGCAAAAAAGAAAGAAAGGAATACATGCAGTTAGAATCAGTAAAAGGAAATGGTAAAGAAAGAAAGAAAGAAAGAAAGAAAGAAAGAAAGAAAAAAGAAAAAGAAAATGCAAAAAAAGAAAGAAAGGAATACATGCAGTTAGAATCAGTAACAGGAAATGGTAGAAAGAAAGAAAGAAAGAAAGAAAGAAAGAAAGAAAATACAAATGCAAAAAAAAAAAAGAAAGGAATACATGCAGTTAGAATCAGTAACAGGAAATGGTAGAAAAAAGAAAGAAAGAAAAGAAAGAAAGAAAGAAAGAAAATACAAAATGCAAAAAAAAGAAGAATATACAAATGCCAAAAAAAGAAAGGAAAGAAAGAAAGTACATGCAAAAAGAAAGAATCAGTAAATCAGGAAAGGAAATGGTAGTAAGAAAGAAAGAAAGAAAAGAAAGAAAGAAAAGAAAGAAAGAAAGAAAGAAAAAATACAAATGCAAAAAAAGAAAGAAAGGAATACATGCAAGTTAGAATCAGTAACAGGAAAATGGCAGAAAGAAAAAGAAAGAAAGAAAGAAAGAAAAATACAAAAAAGCCAAAAAAAGAAAGAAAAGAATACATGCAGTTAGAATCAGTAACAGGAAAATGGAAAGAAAGAAAGAAAGAAAGAAAGAAAAGAAAGAAAAATAAAGAAAAAGAAAGAAAATACAAATGCAAAAAAAAAAAAGAAAGGAATACATGCAAAGAATCAGTAACAGGAAATGGTAGAAAGAAAGAAAGAAAGAAAGAAAGAAAAAGAAAGAAAGAAAATACAAAAAAAAAAAGAAAGAAAGGAATACATGCAGTTAGAATCAGTAACAGGAAATGGTAGAAAGAAAGAAAGAAAGAAAGAAAAGAAAAAAGAAAGAAAGAAAAAACAAATGCAAAAAAGAAAAGAAAGGAATACATGCAGTTAGAATCAGTAACAGAAATGGTAATAAAGAAAGAAAGAAAGAAAAAAAAAAGAAAGAAAAATACAAAATGCAAAAAAAGAAAGAAAGGAATACATGCAGTTAGAATCAGTAACAGGAAATGGTAGAAAGAAAGAAAAGAAAGAAAGAAAAGAAAGAAAGAAAAGAAAGAAAAATACAAAAAAAAAAGAAAGAAAAGGAATACATGCAGTTAGAATCAGTAACAGGAAATGGTAGAAAGAAAGAAAGAAAGAAAGAAAGAAAGAAAGAAAGAAAAAAAAAACAAATGCCAAAAAAGAAAGAAAGGAATACATGCAGTTAGAATCAGTAACAGGAAATGGTAGAAAGAAAGAAAGAAAAAAAAAAAAGAAAGAAAATACAAAGAAAAAAAAAAAGAAAAAAAAACATGCAGTTAAAAATCAGGAAAAAGGAAATGGAAATCAGAAAGGAAAAGAAAAAAAGAAAAAAGAAAGAAAAAAAAAAAAGAAAGAAAATACAAATGCAAAAAAAAGAAAGAAAGGAATACATGCAGTTAGAATCAGTAACAGGAAATGGTAGAAAGAAAGAAAGAAAGAAAGAAAGAAAGAAAGAAAGAAAAGAAAATAAATGCAAAAAAGAAAGAAAGGAATACATGCAGTTAGAATCAGTAGGAAACAGGAAAAGGTAGAAAGAAAGAAAAGAAAGAAAGAAAGAAAGAAAGAAAGAAAATACAAATGCAAAAAAAGAAAGAAAGGAATACATGCAGTTAGAATCAGTAACAGGAAATGGTGGAAAGAAAAGAAAGAAAGAAAAAAAGAAAGAAAGAAAAAATACAAATGCAAAAAAGAAAGAAAGGAATACATGCAGTTAGAATCAGTAACAGGAAATGGTAAGTAAAAGAAAGAAAGAAAGAAAGAAAGAAAGAAAGAAAGAAAGAAAAAAAAAAATACAAATGCAAAAAAGAAAGAAAGGAATACATGCAGTTAGAATCAGTAACAGGAAATGGTAATAAAAAAAAAGAAAAAGAAAGAAAAGAAAGAAAAAAAAAGAAAGAAAATACAAATGCAAAAAGAAAGAAAGGAATACATGCAGTTAGAATCAGTAACAGGAAATGGTAGAAAGAAAGAAAGAAAGAAAGAAAAAGAAAGAAAGAAAATACAAATGCAAAAAAAATACGAAAGGAAAAGAAAGAAAGGAATAGGCAGTTAGAATCAGTAACAGGAAATGGTAAAAGAAAGAAAGAAAGAAAGAAAGAAAGAAAGAAAAAAAATGCAAAAAAAGAAAGAAAGGAATATATGAAGTTAGAATCAGTAACAGGAAATGGTAGAAAGAAAAAAGAAAGAAAGAAAGAAAGAAAGAAAAGAAAGAAAGAAAAAATACAAATGCAAAAAAAAAAAGAAAGAAAGGAATACATGCAGTTAGAATCAGTAACAGGAAATGGTAGAAAGAAAGAAAGAAAGAAAAAAGAAAGAAAGAAAGAAAGAAAATACAAATGCAAAAAAGAAAGAAAGGAATACATGCAGTTAGAATCAGTAACAGGAAATGGTAGAAAGAAAGAAAGAAAGAAAGAAAGAAAGAAAGAAAGAAAGAAAGAAAATACAAATGCAAAAAAGAAAGAAAGGAATACATGCAGTTAGAATCAGTAAATAGAAATGGTAAGAAAGAAAAGAAAGAAAAGAAAGAAAAGAAAGAAAAAGAAAGAAAATACAAATGCTAAAAAAAAAGAAAGGAAAACATGCAGTTAGAATCAGTAACAGGAAATGGTAGAAAGAAAGAAAGAAAGAAAGAAAGAAAGAAAGAAAGAAAGAAAGAAAGAAAGAAAATACGATTGCAAAAAAGAAAGAAAGGAATACATGCAGTTAGAATCAGTAAAAGGAAATGGTAAAAAAAAGAAAGAAAAGAAAGAAAGAAAGAAAGAAAGAAAGAAAGAAAGAAAGAAAATACGATTGCAAAAAAGAAAGAAAGGAATACATGCAGTTAGAATCAGTAACAGGAAATGGTAATAAGAAAGAAAGAAAGAAAGAAAAAAGAAAGAAAATACAAATGCAAAAAAGAAAGAAAGGAATACATGCAGTTAGAATCAGTAACAGGAAATGGTAGAAAGAAAGAAAGAAAGAAAGAAAGAAAGAAAGAAAATACAAATGCAAAAAAGAAAGAAAGGAATACATGCAGTTAGAATCAGTAACAGGAAATGGTAGAAAGAAAGAAAGAAAGAAAGAAAGAAAGAAAAGAAAGAATAAAATGCCAAAAAAGAAAGAAAGGAATACATGCAGTTAGAATCAGTAACAGGAAATGGGTAAAAAAGAAAGAAAGAAATACAAAGAAAGAAAGAAAGAAAGAAAGAAAGAAAATACAAATGCAAAAAAAGAAAGAAAGGAATACATGCAGTTAGAATCAGAAAATGGTAAAAGAAAGAAAGAAAGAAAGAAAGAAAGAAAATACAAATGCAAAAAAGAAAGAAAGGAATACATGCAGTTAGAATCAGTAACAGGAAATGGTAGAAAGAAAGAAAGAAAGAAAGAAAGAAAGAAAGAAAGAAAGAAAGAAAATACAAATGCAAAAAAAAAGAAAGAAAGGAATACATGCAGTTAGAATCAGTAACAGGAAATGGTAGAAAAAAGAAAGAAAGAAAGAAAGAAAAAGAAAGAAAAAGAAAGAAAGGAATACAAATGCAA